CGCCGATTTGTTGGTAACGCTCACAATTTCTTTCGTGAGGAGGTCTAGAGATTCAATTTTTTTCGTAATGGCATCCTGCAGCCCCTTCATCTTTGCCGCATCATCTGGGGCAGCCTTCTCAAAAACTGCCATTTGGTTAACAGTGTCGGCATGTTGCTTCGCAAGAGAGTCTTGGGTAAGCTTCAGCGTCTGCAATTCCTCTCGTAACGCCTCCTTTTCCTGCCGCAGCTCGTCGACAACCTTCGCCAACCGTTTGTTGCTCAACTCTGTGTCGGTGCACCGTACTGACAACATGCGGTGATCCCGTTCCAGTTCAGCCGTCGCATTCATGATCTCCCTGTACCGTTGGCTGTCGAAACCCCCATCCTTGTCGGCATCCTGCAGGTGCAACTGGATAGTTTCACGTTCTGCCCTCAATGCGGCCTCGTCCTGTCGAAGAGACATGATAGCCTTTGTGCCCCGCTCAAGTATGAGCAGTGGGTCATGCTTGATGGCCTCAAACTCCCCACGTGAAAGCAAGGGCGCGTCGTATTCGTCCTTCATGCCGAGCACCTCCCACAAGTTCACTTCTCCCTCAGAGCAAGAACATGGCAATAAATAAATAAATAAATGTAAACCCCCCAAAAAATTTCACAATGTAACAAGACGTGAGAAAAAACAGTGGTAGAACAACAAAAAAGCAGTTATGTTTTGAACCTTCTTTTGAATAAAAATGCATCCACTCAAGCAGTCATACTTCATTTCAGTTTTTTTTTTCTTTGTTGTTGCTGTCACGTTGAACTTTGTTCTGCAATTTTTCACGTGTAAACGTGTCAAGGAAGCCACACATGTACGCAAATACTTCTACCCATTTTCTAACTCATTTACTGACTCACAAGATACCATTCTGAAGGGTTTGAAACTGATCGTATCGCCTCGTTCGCCAATTATCGACGCTTCCCAGAATGAGTTCTTTTACATGGAGAGCAAAATCCGTCTCGGTCTCCAAGTCAAAGCGAAAACGAGAGCGCAGCTGTTGAACGGTACTTGCGGGATCACTGCCAAAGCAAGACATGGTGTTGTAAGGAGTCATGAGCGACACAAGGCCTAAAATATCGTCTGCACGCTCCCGTACCGCCACCATTCCCTGATAAAGCAACAACTTGAAGTAATTGAACGCTGCACTTCCAACACCTCCCATCACTTCCATAAGCTCCTGCGAAAGCTTAAAGGGGGCAGATTCAAAATTTATCCCACCAGGTGACGTAGCAAACATAAACCCAAAGTCGATATGCACCAAGTGTCCCTCACTGCTAATCATAAGATTGCCGTTATGTCTATCTTTGACCTGAAGCATGTAGGAAACAATGCTGTACCCTGCCATCGTCTCTACAAAATTCATTTCAGCTTTGGAATGCCTTTCGGAACCCACTGGCCCAAAAGCTTCATTAAAAAATTGCGCAAGGCTGCTCACTTGGCACAATTTTTTGATGCCGTCGATCGAGCAGGCACCATCCAAGTATTCCATAATCCCCGAATCTGCGGAAACAGAAAGAGCTCGATGGGGACGAACGGAGCATGTAATTCCACCTTCCTCCCAAATTTTGTTAAAAATATCGATTAGCTGCAAGGCCAATTCCTCCTGTCGCAGATCATCCTTTGCCTTAACAACAACGGAAACTACACTCCAGTTTGGGTGCTTCCCAAAGACGGATTTTTTTCGCATACGTGCAACACACTCTTCTGCTGACTCACCAAACGCGCATACAAATGCGTCCCGATCGCTACCTTGAAATACCCCATCAGTTTTCATGTCTTTCTCGTCACCTGACCCCTCTTGGGCATATGACGGTGTAAACACCTCATCGAAATCAGCCGCAATTTTAAACGACCCATTGGGTAAACGCAATTTTGATGCCACCGGGTCACCCATCGACGTTGTGTCGTCAAGAATGACTTCACAGCGAAGCAAAAAGGGTGCCCTTTCACGAGAAGAGAAGACAACACATTCATCCACGGCTATGTTCACAATCCACTTGACGGGATCCGCGACACCCCCGAAAGGATAGATGATGGACTGGGTGCTCAATGAATTGTTGATTTCTTGTAGCTTTCTTTTTAATTCTGTTTGGCGCTTTCGCTTATCCGGATGTTGGCACAGCTGGGAGCTCAAGTGTGTGACGATGCTGATAAATTGTCGCTCTTCATTGTATAACTTGAGCCGCAATTCCTTCCGCATAATCTCTGCCTCTGTCACTTCGTCATCATTCCCGTCTCTAACATTCCCTCTGCGGTTAATCGCGAAGCTCTCAATTCTGTCCCGAATCTCCTTCACGCGGTCACCGAGCCCCAACAATCCAAATATCTTCTGCACGGAGTCCACTGTCCACGACAATCGCAGCGCGGCGCTGAACGACTGAGCAGCTATCCAGAGCATAAAGTTGCGCAAAAGGTCCTGAATCTCCGCCTCGCCGTGAGTGATGCAAACATGAGACACCTGCAGCAGGACCTCCTCCAGCGTCGGGAGCGGGGTGTCATACAATTTGTTGACGATCAGAACCTGTTCGTCAAATGTGGCTGTAGAGAGGTCAAGTAACCGCTCCAGTAGCTCACGTCGCCGCAGCGACAAATTCGACGACGCCTTCATTCTTGTTTTTTTTTTTATTTTTTTTTTTCTAAGATAACATAGAAAGAGTAAAAAAACACACAAAAAAAAAATTGGCTAATCGGAACCCGGTGTTTTAAAGGCATTCCAAACACACTCCCGCACATAAAAAAAAAAAAAAAAAAAAATTTTTGCAAAGATACTCACATTCATAAAGGTGCATTTAAATGCATATATATATGTATATGTATAACGCACCAATTTATCGTAAACTAAGAAAATAAAAATTAAAAAAAAAATAAAAATAAATAAATTGAATATAAAACATGTGAGGAAAAAACAAAACAAAACAAAAAAAAAAAACTTTTTTTACTTGTTTTGCCTCAGGTGACTATCAATGAGAAATCCTTGAAGGATACTGAAAATGAGTAATTGCACTCAGTAAAGACAAAGCACTTTGCAATAATAACACTTAGGTAAATCCTTTTTTTTTTTTTCTTTTTTCTATTTACAATCAAAGACATGGAAAGAGCAAATCACAACTCAAGCAAAAATCATCATTCCGCCTTCAATCCATTTTGCAACACGACCATCTCCTTCTTAAGAAATGCCTTACGCAATGATGCCGAGACCGTCCTCACCTTTTCTCGAAGCCCCTTCTCATCATCGGTGTACTGGGAAACAACCGCAACTGTCCTGGCCTCCGCCGGAAATTCTGGTAATAGCCGCATGGGGGTTCGTCCCTTCCCCACACCCTTCAATATTTCTTTTACATCTGAAAGTGAATTTATAGACAAGGCCTTTTTGCGCAAGGCATTTGCGTATGGCACATCGATCCGAGCATTATGTGGCTGTAATAACTTTGTTGGTTCTTTTGACGTTGACGATGCGCCCAAAAACTTTTTTTTTTCAAACAGAGGTGGCAAATTATGGGTTAAGCGTGACAGAACAACCCCAAACAGATACGGAATGTTAGGCATATAGCCATCTGCATCTAGCTGGTGCAAAAAGAGAG